GGGGGGGGGGGGGGGGGACACGAATGAAGGTCCACATTGCAGCTCCTCACTTCTAACGCGGCATGCACTTAGAGAGAGAGGTCTATGACCAACCAGTAAAGCTGGGCCATACTCAGAGCCTTGAGATATGATGGGAAGACAGAAATTTCTCTAAGAGTCAAGAGGACATATTCCTAGCAGTCTGAGGTGGAGCCGGTACGCTCTATAACAGTCAAGAGAAAAGGCTCAGCAGTGGTCTGACACTTTCTGAATGTGCCTGGCTTAGGGACACAAGAGAAAACAACCCTTCCTCCCACCTGCCTATGGGCACATGAAGTTCTTACGCCAAGACCCGTTTCTCCACAATGTGGTTGAGGGAGGAGAAGACACCCTGTCGCACGTGGCCCTCCAAAGGTGGATAGAAGTTGGGAATGATCTGGAAGGGAAGGGAGGGGAGAATGAGCACATGACTTGCCATCCAGAGTGTTCTGCTGAACCAGATCTAAAAAGCTGCTTCAGTTTTGATCAGAAGACACTGGGGAGTATGACTACAGAAAGGTCTGGAATGGTCCTGACCATTCCAAGCTGCTACAATGGTTAATTCTTACTAGACCTGGCCTCAGAGAGACCAGATTCTACCTTAAGTCATTATCCTTGAAGTCGAGAAAGCCCATGGAGACATGGAAAGATCCCACAGGAGATGGCAGAAATAGGGAAGGGGAGTGTTCACTGACTTGGGGGCAGGACCTATGATTACAGCTGCTCCCACAATGAAGGGCACTAGGAAAACCTATAAGGTGAAGGGGACACACACTTACACGGCACATGAAGTCCAGGAGTGTGGCAGTAATGGCTGGGTGTGGCTTCATGGAGTGGTGCATGACCAGGATGGCTGGTTCTGGAGAAGGGAGAATTAAAGGGTCCCCACTTCAGGTAGTCTGTCCCCAATTCCATGAAACAAGGCATCAAAATACAGGAATAGTTCCAGAGAGCTGTATCCCTACCCCCTATTCCCATTGAGCAGACCCAAAAGCAGACAACCCCAAACAGCTCCTAGCCCTCATCTCCCTTGTCCAGCATCCGGCTTAGAAGAAGGAGGTGGTGGGAGAGGAAAAGCAGGGTGCGGCACAGCCCTCTGCCTAGGCCACTCCACCGGAGCCCCAAGCATAAGGCTCTTGGGCAAAAGAGAGGGAGTGAGTGCTTGGCCTCAGAAAAGCAATCTTCCTTCTACATCAAGGGCGCACTGGTGAGGAACAATCGAACTGCTCCCAGATAAGCTGTCTCCCCCGATGCCGCCCTGAGGTTTATGACCACCGTCACCGAGACTAGGCAGTGGCCTGGGAGATGGGGGTGGTGTTGCCTGCTCCCAGTCACATACCTATGTTCATAATGCTATCCTTGTCTGGGCTAAAGAACAGCCAGTCGTAAAACAAAGCCAGCTTGGCATTGGAGGCAGCGACATTTGACTGGAAGAGAGAGGTGAGAAAGAAGGGCTGGTTTCATCAAACAGCTCCCTTTCCTGCACAAGCGCAAGGCAGCCTCCAGGGTTCACGTGGCTGTGCATCTAAGAAATAAATTCAGTTCCTAGTGAGACAGACAGAAGCCTCCAGGGGTGAGGGGCACCCAAGTCTGCATACGAATGAGACTGGCCATGGTCTCACCGACCAAGGGGCCAGGGATTGGCCTGGGTTCCCGTTCGTTTGTCCAGAAGAACACATCCCTGCTCCTAGAAAAGGAGAACGGGGCCTAGCTGACACAGCACTCAGACCAGGGCCTAGGCTGCCCCTCCTGGGCTCCTGGGGCACATTCCCGGCTGAGGGACCCCTAGGAACAGCCTGTGATTGTGTCTGAATCAGCACATTCCGAGGACCCAGTCAACAGGGGGAGGAGAACTCTGTTGGAAGAGGTCAGAAGGTAGAAGCCAGAGAGCAGACAGTTTGGAGCTTCCCTACCTAAGGAACAGATAGGAACATGCTGAGAAAGAAATGGCTCCCCTGGTTTGCACAAGTATCCAAAGCTGATGCCAAAAGCCTAGGAAGTGAGGGTCTGAGACAAGCCCTGAATCTGAGGAAGGAGCCATTCAGAGGAGTAACCATATATGGTTCTTGGAGCTAAAAGTAAAGATAGGGAGGCCTCAGAAATCTGGGCTTGGGGACCAGCAGTAAAGACAGAGAACCTATCCAACCACAAACCCAGATGGGAAATACTGAGTGTAGTCAACTTCCAGAGCGATAAACCTAAGCAGGACAAAGGCTGACACTCAGTGGAAAGAAAGTGAAGGAAGGGGTACTGCTGGGTAAGGGTCAGGAGGCCAAGAGTCAGGAAGAAGCAAGGAAATATGGGAGACTCAAGGGACGAGGACCCTTCACCACCCAAGAGCCTCCACCCTACAGCCCAGCCCCTCACCGTGCACGTTGTCAGGAGCCAGCCGATGATGGCCCATCGGGGCAAGATATCTGAACTCAGCACTTCGTTAGAAGGGTGGACGACCCCACAGATGTAGCGAATGAGGTCACAGCGCAGAGACTGACTGTCTGGGGTTGACAGGTACTGGCGCTGGAACCAATCCTGGTAGCGCTTCTGCTGCCCAAACCGCACCTGGAGGAAGGGGGCGCTGGAGGAACTTGGAAGGAAGGGCGGGGTCTCGGGCGGAGGAACGGGAGGACCACTCAACACTAGGCGTGACCTACACCTCCATCTTGTGCTTCAACTCATTCACTAACTCACATTTTCTTCTCAGGAGAGACCTTCCTTCCCAAAGGAAGACTTGCTGATTTAAATCTTCCTTGACTGAAAAAAGTTGCCAAGAACCTTCCTCACTCACGTCTTGTGCCAGGGTTGCCTTCGTTCCTGCCACCAACCTAATGTCCCAATTGCCCCCAACTGTGACTGCAGCTGGATTTTGGTTCCTTCCTCCTGTTCCAGTCACTGAGGCTCCAGTGGTAAGCACTTTTCTTATCTTCGCAAGCCCCTTGTGGCCAGCAAGGAATGTTCCTCGAGAACAAGGACTGAGCCTGACAGAAAGCTGACCAAAAGCTTTCTGATGTCGAGTGACTAGAGGGTCACTATCCCAGGTACACAGACTCTCCAAAGCTTCTTGCAGCAATTCCTTCCCCCAATCAGACTCTAACGTGGTTACAAATAGCAACACTGAGTAAGAGCAGAGATCTGGTTTTCCTCTTCTATTCCCCAAATTCAACCAAAACAGAGAGCAGAAAGGCTAAAAAGAAAGATATGTCTAGACCAACACTGTCCAATAGAATTTTCTGCAACGATGATGGCTACTGAACCACAACTGAAGTACGGAATCTTTTATTTTACCTAGCTTTAACTAATTCACTTATTAAATTATTTTGGGCATTTATTTTTAGTGATCCCTACACTCAACGTGGGGCTTGAATTCAAGACCCTACCTTGAGATCAAGAGTCACATGCTCTACCAACTAAGCCAGCCAGGTGGCCCTAGCTTTAACTAATTTAAACTGCACCCCGAAGGTGGCTACTACATGGGATAGCACAGATCTGCGCGGTTCTCCTGGATGGCTCAGGAAACCAAAAGCAGACTAGGCCAGAAGGCTCCCCAACTCCAGACTGGCTGTAGAGGAGCTGTTGCCTGGAAACTCTGTTAAACAAACACAGATTCCTCAATCATATTATGTGGGAGACTGGGATCCTGGGACATGTATATTCAACATGCTGCTCACCCAATCCTGCTAGAACTCAGCCATGTTTGGAAACCACCAGGCCAAAGCTCTTCCTGAGAATTCACATTTGGCCATAGGGATGGTGGGTTTTCCAGAATGAACACCTCTCTATACGCTTTTACACACATTTCACATTTGTAAATTACATAATTTGTGTATAATTTTTGGTTTAGCGATGGTTTTAGATAGACTGAAAGCTTCGCAAGAGCTCCAACTATACCTCTTTTACTGAACACTGTATCCCCAGCTCATGGCACCTGCCCAATGCCAGGTAGATCGGGTACCCACTTGGCCACCACTCTGCCAGCCAGCACTCAACGGTAATGCATCTGCAGGCTGGAGGAAGAAGCCCAGCTAACCTGCAGCTTCTGCTCCTGCTGCAAAAGATTAGCTTACCCGGGAGGTCATGAAGAGGAGCTTAGTCTCCATATCTGGGGTTAGACGACATGCCAGGAATTTTCGGGATGTTCTGGACTGAAGAAGCTGCAGGATACCTGGACCAAGTATGTAAGGGAAGAGAAAAGAGAGAAGCCTGAGGACCTTCCAGAAGGAGTAGAAGGCAGGTGGGGAACCTGGGCCAGGTACTTATGGCCAGTGGTCTTGCTCATGGGGAAACTCTAAGACCAGACCAAGAGAGGTCAAGCACAGATACAAGTGGGGTCCCTAATCAGCATCTGAATGTTCTGCTCCAACCAACCACCAGCCCCAGGACCCAGATATATTACTTCTTTTCTGTTCCTGGCCGTTCAGAGGCCCCTACTCACAATATCCAGTGGGCAACATGTGGGAAAGTTAGGGGAAAACATGGGAAACCCTAGCCTCTCTTTCTGCTCCTTATGGTCCCATCCCTGGGTCCTGGGATTAATGTGGTTGTGGTACAGGCACGGGCTCTGGAGTCAGACAGACCTGGATCCAAATCCTGCCTCTGACACTCACTAGCTGTGTGGCCTTGGGCAAATTACTTAATCTCCTTGAACCTCATTTTCTTTATCTGTAAATATGGAAAGTAAAATATCCATCTTACAGGGTTGTCCTGAGGATTAAATGAATCAACACACGTGTCTAGCACACACGTAAGCACTCAAAACAACTCAACACATGTTCAATATAAGAGCAATACAATATAAAGGAGGACCAGGACCTTCCCCTCCTTTCCTGACTCTCCAGGGCTCAGACAACTGTTTCCATGTGCACATGCGTGCGTGTTGGAGGTGGGGAGGGACCCTGAAAAGGGGAAACGGCTTTCAAAAGGACCTTGTCAGGGAGAGGCACACAAGACTCCCTCTCATGAACAGAATTTTGGCTAGGCTGGATCCTTGGAATTCAGAGGCAAGACTGATCCCAGGGAGAAGCACTCTCTTACAGGGCTAATCCCAGCCCCTCTGCTGACTCAGTCTCACGAGCTGACCTCTGACTCCCCTGCTGGACCCAGTGAGCCTGGAAACTGGCCATCAGCTCACCTCCCAAGCCAGAGAGCTGTAGGGAGAGGGGGAGGAGGAGGAGGAGGATCACGGCTCTGCCTCAGTTTTTCTTGGGACCAATGGCAGCAGCAGTCTGCCAGGAAGGGGCTGTCTGGGAACCCTAAGAATTGCTCTGGACCCCTGCCACCCCCACATCCAGCTGTACTTGGCAAAACCTGCCCTGTCCCAAGCTCCCTATTTCTGGCTGCCAAAGCCTCTCCTACCCTCCAGCCTCTGCCCTCTTGATTCACTCAGCACATACTCCGAACTCCCACCTCTCAAGGGCAGGATGCCCTGGCCCTTCCTTACCTGTGAACTGAGGACTTAAGGCCTGAGGGTTATGGATAATATCTTTCCAAAGCAGTTCAAATTCTGGTATCCTGGCAACATTCTGAAGTAGTCGTACGAGGTCCCGGCCAATCATCAAACATTCCATGAACTTGATGAGGGGAGGGGGGACAGGAGAGAGAATGAAAACACGGATAATTTACCTGCTGCAGGGAGGACCAAGGAGCAGCTCGTTCTAGGGAAGGAAGGAAAGAGGGCCGAAGGGACCAGAGGATTTCTTCTGGCACCAAAGGACTGGCTCCCAGCTGCTTGGGGGAGAGAGCTGGAAGCCGGGGATGGACATAAGGAGGATAGGTTACTGGTAACTACTAAAGCCCTGTTGACTTTCACATGAATCTACTCCTCTCTCCTCCCAGGATGGTTTTGACCCAGATCGAGAGACTACAATTCCAAAAGGACAGGACAGGCAAGCTAAGCCCCAAACACCTTTCCCCAAACTCCCCTTGTCCAACAGAACAATCTATGGTAATGGAAATGATCTCCACCTCTGTGCTGTCCAAAAGGGTCACCATCAGCCACAGGTGGCTAATGAGCACTTGAAATGTGTGTAGATAATTCAACTAAGGAACTCAATTTTAAATTTAATTTTGATTAACTTTAAGTTGCCACATATGGGGAGTGGCTACTGCATTAGAGATCAGAGCTCTGGGACCTCTCTTGGGAGATCTCGGAGTGGACAGTTCATAATCCCACTTGACCACGGCCACAACCCAGGTGTGGGGGGGTTGCATAATAATGGGCAGCCGGGGTCTGTGGTATACAACAGTGTCCATGAAGAGGGCCTGGAAATCCCTCCTCCAGGGACAGCAGTTCCTGGAGCCAGAGCTGCTCCACGCAGATTCCCACCTTCTCCCTTGCTCTGTTTCGGAATGATGGAAAAACACCAGGCCTTGAACCATCCCCATCTCCCCAAAATGACATCTCTAGCCTAGGTCAGCTCACAAAACTTACACAGGTGTCCCATCCTAGGGTTCACCTGCCCACAGTCTTAGCCCTCACCCGTTCGCGAAGCAGCGACATGCAAAAGTCCACCTCCTTCTGCCGCAGGGCCTGGAGCTGGGCAGTTCCGTGGTGGTCGACGATGAGGCGGAGGTACGTGTAAACAGCCATGGCGATGAGGATGCTGCTCTTCAACACCCATTCCCTGCAGAAGGGGGGTGGGGGGGTGGGGGAGGAAACACCTGGCATCTGTGCTCTGTCCAGACTTGTTCCTCCTCCCAGTTCACGCCCACACTTGGTTCTGGGGCCTCAGAAATGTCCAATGATTGACACTGGGAGGAGGATCTTTGATTTCTTGACTATTTGCTCGTGACCCATCTTGGACTACCAACTGGCTCAGGTAGGGACGACCTCCTACCACTCTACCAGGCGCCCAATGGAGATAAGCGCTGACTGAAAGCAATCTTTCTTTTTCACATAACTATTGAGCTTCCAATCAAATACTTGCTCGTTGATGCACTCGTTCAAACATTTACTGAGCACCTGTCATGTATGTGCCGAGCACCACGCGAGGTACTGGGGACAGAGATTAAACTACAGCTTCTATCCAGCCCAGAGAATGGGGAAAGAGGTTCTAGAGGTGTCCCAAAGCCAGCAGTTCTTACAGAGTGGAAGGAGGACCTCCAGAAGCTAAGACACCTTGAGAACGCTGGCGGTTTTAGGGTGCGCTGTGTCAGCCCTGCCACTGTGCCTGCCATGAGCGGCCCTCCATGCCACACAGGGTTCCCTGGCTCTCTGGCCACTACTCCCACTCCCAATGAGGTACCTGCCCTAAATCATAATCTGAAAAGAAGAACATGATTTTGGATGGCAAAGCCTATTTCCTCAGGAGTTTTTAAATTTCCCTGGGGGAAGGGGGTAATGTGCTCCCTGCTGCTTTCAAAAGGGTAGAAAGACAGTGGGGAGAGGACAAAGACTCCAATGCTGTCTCAAAGTGCCACAACTGGGAGCTATCTCCCTCAAGCAAGTACTTATAAGGCCTTTGGCACCCCTGCTGGAAGCCAGGGAACCAGAGAAACAAGTTTAATTAAGCCAACCAGGCAACATCCTGATTCCGGAAAAGTGCTCAAGACACCTAATTAAAAGACTCTGGTCTTTTCCTTTCAGAGAGTGAACGCAGAATCCAAGGACAATGGGGAGGCCCTCCCCCATGTGCTACCTGTTAATTCCATGGCCCTAGAAACACTTGGGGAGGAGGGAGAAGGGGAGATGTGGAAGAAGACTTTGTTTTGTTTTGTTTCTGAGACAGCAAGTGAGCCAGCGCACGTGAGTGGGGGAGGGGCAGAGGGAGGAGAGAATCCCAAGCAGGCTCTGCACTCTCAGCACAGAGCCTGACACTGGGCTCGATCTCAGGACCGTGAGATCATGACTGAGCTGAAATCAAGAGTTGGACACTTGAAACCGACTGGGCCACCCAGGCATCCCAAGAAGATGGTTTTAAACATCTAGGGACTCACTTGCACCAAAAGATTTGAGTTTTTGTGGGACAGGAGCAAAAGTAGGGCAGTTATGTGACACCTGTACACGGAGACCGCTCCCAACTGCCCAAATGAGGAAAATGCAGCTTTACAGTACCAGAACAGAAACAAAATGAGAACGATCATTTAGGAAGACTGTCAGCAAAGGTGATGAATGTAACTGAGTCCTGGGATGGGTAATAAAGAGAAAAAGAAAGTGAGACCACTGGACCCAGAACACCAGACAGGCACAGACACCCTGCAAGAAAGTGCTAGGATCTCCCGGGCTGTGCAGCGGCACCAATGGAAGTGCCTGAGCCGGAGCCGCAGCGGAGAGCCCAGCCCAGGGCACTAGGTGGCGCTGCACGGCACCTGACCCAGCTCTCCGCTGGGGCAGTGCCCAGAACAAGTGTGAATAAGGGAGGAAGTCTGTTCTTCTGAACCACAGGAAATATGGACATTTGACTACTGTGGTGGCCTCACACAAAACAGACTCAGAAGTCAAGCAACAGAAGACCAAGAGGAGGCCTTGCCCCCAACAAGTTCAAATACGGAACAGCCCTTATAAAATTTCTGGTCCTTTGATGGGAAAAAGAAAGAACTGGCCAGAAGCCCAGCGTGTCCCCCTTACGTCCTCTACCACCGCAGCCCCCCAGCCCTGTGTGCAAACTTGAGCAGTATTCCTGGGCCCGTTACCTCCTCACTCCCATCTCAAGACAGCAGGGGTTGTTGGGTGGAGAGCCTCAGAAGGGAGAAAAGGGGTACCTGCCAGGCCCGAGTGGTTGGCTGGCCCCACTCTGCTGAGCTCATTCTCCCATGTCTCCCCCCAAAGAGAAACATTCCAAGGAGGTCTGGATCAAAAATAAACCCTTATCAGATGAAGCTAGTTTTTCCTGGGCTCTGAGATGTTTTGGCAAAGACCTCTTCCCCACCCCTTAATCCCCTGGGCCATGCCATACCCTTGATTCCTCCACTTGCCCTCCCTCCCCCTCTCTAACCCTAGGTGTTCTCAGGCCGCCCACACCTGTACCCATCATGGCAGACTCTACCTCTGCTCTGTCAGGATATCCAGGACACTCTCTGCCAACCAGATATTTTTTGCAGTAACATCTCCACCTGATTTCAAAGGGGGAGAAAACAACAAGAATGGCTTTCATTAGCAAGTCCACTAATCCAACACAGTTCTTCACCCATCCTGTTTCTCCATCCCTAACTGCTATCCCATCATGGAGGTTCTGAGTGTTGGAACACCTGCTTTCTGTTCAGTCATGCTTTGAAGTTTCCCCTTTGCTTCCACAGAGAAAGGAAGGGAAGGTTCTAGAATTTTCCAGAAACCAGAGTTGCTACTTTTCTATAACCTGGGGGTTGGAGTGGGACTACTCTGACCCTGGAAAGGGAATGTCTAGGACAGAGACATGAAGAGCCCCTGGTTGGAAGAAAGGGTGACATCTCAAACAGGGCCTGAGATACAGGCAGCCAGTGACAGTGGCCATCCAGCATCAGGGTGTCCCAAACCAAGTCAGGCACATCACAGGCCAAGGGTTTCTTGTTTCAGGCACAAGACAGGCCACGGTCTTCTGTGCTTGCTATGGAACTTTCTGGGGCAAAATTACATGTGGCAATGCCAGACCAAAGTCCGAGGATGAGAAGCGGAGACTTAGGAAGACCAAACCGGGAAAGGAAACACCAGGAGGTAAAGGAGCCAGCACACCATCATGCTTGCTCCTTCCTAATTTAAAAAGTCAGTGTTGGGCTGCCTGCGGGGGGCTCAGTCAGTTGAGCATCCGACTTTGGCTCGGGTCGTGATCTCATGGCTCATGGGTTCAAACCCTGCGTCGGGTTCTGTGCTGACAGCTTGGAGCCTGGAGCCTGTTTCGGATTCTGTCTCCCTCTCTCTCTGCTCCTCCTCTATTTGTGCGCATGTGTGTGCGCTCTCTCTCGAAATAAGTAAATAAACTTTTAAAAAAATTTACAGAAAATTTGCAAGAAAAGTACTTTTTTTCTTGAGCTATGTAGAAGTAAATTACAGACATAATTTTCCATACTTTAAATTTTTTTTTTTTTGGGGCGCCTG